CAGTTTTTAAAGGCTAAAGTCACCTTAATGAAATTTGCTGAACCATCGTTGACACTTACGAAAGTTCAAAACATTTTCATAAACTTATTTGATAATCTTTGTGGCTACAGAGGCGTTGTTTCCTTTCTTGTATTCAAACATCATTAAATGCCGAATGTGTGTCTCGTCGTGTGCCATCACTGTAAGGGATTGGAGTATGCTAAACTTTACATATTATATAGGCTACACTAACGTGACGTTTAGGCGGTTCGTTTAATGATGTACATTTTTTTGGGGGAGGGGGTTAATGAAAGTGTTCCAAAACACTACATTAATTTATTGACGACCTAATACTTAAATATGGCTTAGTATTGTGTTTTTAGATACTATGATAACATTTTACATATAAATTTATTTAATCTGTTATTAAGATTCTGCATTATATTATATTTTTTCCTTCATTTCTTTAACTTTTAAGTTGTTCTTCTCTGAAACTAAAGCTTTATAGTGTATGAAAGGACATGGATGTTTTAGCACCCAGTATTAAAGGAATCAAGTGTTTTAACATCCAGTGTGTAAGTCAATGAGACCACATTTGGGGGATTTGGTGGGCTACAGAGTGATGGTACAGTTCCAGTATTCACGCTAGAAATAAAACATTCCGATAAAGAGCTTGATCTATTAACCTCAAAAAACCATACTTTACTGCCTAAAGAACTTGCTCTCAATAGTGTTGAGCCATGAAGATGTGATGTGTAAGGAGTTGGCTGGACTATGTTTCTTTTTACAAAATAGTAAAAGTATTCATGTTGGCATATCCGAATTGGTCAAATAAAAAAGCACTTAGAAGTAGTGTATCCTTATTGGTCTAAAAGTGAGATAAAACCATTGATTAGTCTGTATTCCCTCATGTGCTGTGCTAGTAATGCTTCCATATTGCTGCTGCTACTACTACTATTACCCCTGCTATTAATTCTGATCTGCTACAACTACTGCAGCTTTCTCATCCTGCGTATATCAGATTAGCTCCTTCAACTGACTTGACAAGAATTTGTCTGTGATTCTGAGGAAAAACCCCCACAACAGAGAAAATAATAACTGGGCATGCCACAGTATGTTCTTGGTCATCTCTATTGACAGAATTTATGAAAAACGTGAAAAATGGCTTTATAGAACTGAGGCACTAAAACTTGTATTTCTAAACATGTGTGGATACTACCATCTTCTATGTGGGAATGTGGATGGAAAGTATGGGTTTTACTTCCTTACAGCCTGGTAACTAGTGTGAAGTTGGCCATGCTGGTGGGTAATTGAGATTCCATATATCGCAAGGAGTTCAAATCTCCATAGAAAATTTAAGAAATGATTGCCCAAAACTTTTGTTTGGGAATCAATCCACCAAAATTTTCTCACTGACTTGCAGACCGAGTGTTAAATAAAGCCTAAAATGAGACTTAACTGCATCAAGTATTTTAATTAATAAATTATTTACCATAAATGTTATGTTAGTATAACTTCAAAGCTGAAAGGTCTTTTTCAACTGAATACCTGAAGGTTTCAGGTGCAAATCAAAGGAGTGACGATTTTCAAAACTAATAGAATGTATTTCTTTGTTAAGGGAACAATAAAAATACACATGTTAAGCTAATACACAAAAAAGGGTCTAACAGTTGATATAATTTAGAAAATAATGTTATGAAGCTATGTTTTGGGTTAGCTGGAAGCAAATAAATGTATGTTAAGAATAATGTTAATAAGATATAACCTGAAACATGGATTTAGTGTTGGTAATATAACTAGCTCTTTTACTTTAATTAATCAAACATGGACATGAGACATATAATGCTATATTACTGACTTTTACTTTGACCAATCAAATGCAAATATAAAGTTACTGATATTGCTAACTCTTTTACTTTAATCAGTTTTATATGGATCTAAATTTGATAGTATGAATAAACCTTTTTCCTTAATCATTCAATCATAGACCTAAAGTTATTAATATAACTATTTTTACTTTACCGAATTGAACATGGATCAAAAGTTGGTAATGTAACTAACTCTTCTACCTTAATCAACTTTGATGTTGAACTTAAGCTTGATTTAAAGGTGTGAGAGATTACATAAAATGTAAGATATAAATTGAGCATATCTAGTTTTTTCTGTCCTCCAAGTATGATTTCATTGCAGACCATTAAGATATTTTGTACAATTATTGGTTAACTTTGTCTTAAAGGTGTGAATTGCAAGCAAGATACTGTATAAAGAAATGAGCTAACTAAGGTATATGTTCTTTTGTTATCCAGGTGTAAGTTACAGACCAAGTCCGCCGGAAAAGAACGTAGACAGTACTCTCATATGGTTTCGTCGTGGAAATGCAAGTGAATCAAAATACTGGAGTGACTCTCTCAAAGATTTCTTAGAACGTGAGAAGCGAATTTAGCCAAAATAAAGTATTCGGTGGATAGCTAAATATATTAAATTTAAAATCTGTGAATATGAGGCACACAAAGAACATTAAAGTTAGGAAATTACAAAAATTGGGCTAGTATGCATTATGAAAAGTGCTGTTTTGGTTTATAGTTAGCATTATTCACTTACAATTAGCCGAACAGCAACTTAAAACCCCGTACAAGGGCAGTCCCATAGTTTTTATTCAAATATGTTTATTGTGACGAAATGCATGTACCAGTGCTTGTTAACCTAGAATTCGATTGATGAATTGCTTTGGGTTGTAAATTCAGAAAAGCCAAAATATTAATTAGACCTGGATGATTAATTAATATAATCGATTATCTGTGGGAATTGATCACATTGATTAGTGTCACCTAAAATAATTGCATAAATAAATAAAATAAAAATTTTAGATTAATTCCAATTGGGATTATGGTGGATGCCTCGGGATTCGAGAGTCACAGGTTCAATTCCCGTTGCCCCCATACATGCTTGTACATAACTTATGAATGTGAATTTGTGACCTGGTGGGCATTAGTTACATGAAGCCACATTGACGCCTATTGTTCGTATTTACCTTGTATGGATTAAGCAATAGTATAGCTTCAAGTTTAACTTAATATATTGCTTACTTCTTACATGCTATATAATAAAGGTAACCAGCGTTAATTACGTAGGATAAGACAGATTTAATAAAAATAAGGACAAGCACGTTAATATTCTTTGTTCGGTTAAAGAAAACGTTGATTACGGAATTTCTTGCTCATTTAACTGTGTTTGTCAGAAATTACACGCCATGAACTAATAACAGTATAACAGTATATAATAACAGTATATCTAACATGTTAAGTCAATAACCCATTTACATGAACAGGACTCTTGTTTAATTACGATTAGCTCTAACTAGATAGAAAGTACTGAAAATGGAAAACAGAAGACTGTATGTCATCACGTGTCGCTTAAATACTGCCTAGTAAAGTTGTTTGACAAATTGATTTTTCAATTCACAAGAACGTTTATACAGCTTTTCCAGTCTGCATTTTAAAATGTAAACAAAAATAATAAATTTAATCTGTGCTTTTTAACCTTTTATCTGTATCAACAACTTCTCGCTTAAAAATTTGTTTTTGTACTTACAAATTTATTAATTTTTTTTAAAGTTTTTCATGCTGATGATGGAATTTGAAAACTTTCGAAACACTGGTAGTGCTGTGTTCTTAATCTTTCTGATAAAACTTCGATTTCTACCTTGTAAATCATTTTAATCTCTTCAAAAACGTTACCTAGTATTACCACAAGTTTTCTTGCCAAATAGTAAATGTACTGTCTGTTTTTGTTGGTTTTATTTTAGGGTTGGAGTGCACTTGTTTTCAATGAACTATATATTTTCCATCATTGTGTGACAACAATTTTTACTAGTTTTATCACATGACAACTAAGGACAACTGTATTTAACAATTAATTAATTTACATAGTGAGAAATATCGCAATTTTCTATAACAATCCTATATTCTTTTTCTCAACCTTACTGACTGATTGTTAGTACAGCACTCCTTACTATACTGGTACAAGTTAACGTCCAATAAAACCAGAGAATTTTGTTTAATATTTTTTTGATTTATAATTAATGTGACATAGTAATATATATTGTCATCAACAGAAATTCAGTAATTTTAGTAGTATTGTGAAAATTTGTATGGAAATACCTACAGAAGTGTATTTATAGCTTGTTATAGGTTTTGTATTAAGTTGCGTATATGATATATTTTCATGAACAGAGTTTAGGGTTAAAAAGTAACTTAATCTGATTGAACCTGAAAGTGAGTTCAAAATGTTGTTTAAAAAACAAGCTACGAATAGGAAGATTGGTCTCATGAGAATAATCAATTAATTGACTATAATCCATTAATGTGCCCAACGATTAATTAATTGGCAAATTCCACTATTTACCCAGCTCTGATATTAAAGGAATTTTGTTTTTGAAATTTCTTTTTTTGTGAAATTCCAACAAAATGATAAATTTAAAGTTGTTAGGAACATGGAACGTAGTACAATGAGTGATTTATTTCCTTCACGAAAGAAATTACCAAAGTTTTGAAATAGTAAGTTTTATTACAAAGTTTGTTAGAAATACTGGAGTTGTGACCATATTAATTGTACTTGGATTTTACATTTAAGAAAAGAAAGGAGTGATTTTTAATTTATTTTTGATATTTTTTTCACAGCTTATCAGGTAGAAGAAGGTTTGAAAGAATGTGACTTTGGAAGCACTCGGAAACCTGAAGAATCATGCAGATTTAATTTGAATTCAATCGATAACTCATGTAGCAGCTCACAAAACTTTGGCTATGACATGGGTCATCCATGTGTTCTGATCAAGCTTAATCGGGTATTTCGTAGTTGTGTTTTTAAAAGCTTTTCCATTAATAATTAACTGATTACTCATTGCCTTCTCATTTATACTGAATTTTTCACCAAATTTCATATATATATATATATATATATTACTCTTATCTCTATATACACCTCAATTTCCAGATATATAAATCAGATAATTAGCAAACATATAAAATATAGAAAATGTAGCTTACAACACTGCTACTTTCCTGGATTGTGTAGTCCCTTGAACAAACTGAATACACAAATAAAACAATACACTAAACTTTCCATTCATTAAATCTTTATTTATTTTTTAGTGGACTTCTTTGAGGATTATGGTTTGCAGATGGGATAACATCTTGTTCTTTATCATTGTCTTACAATGGGTCAGCAATAAGTGTGCAGGCTTACAAAGCCAAAATCTGGAGCTAAAATAACTAACCAACCAAAACCTTTGTTATCATGTGCTGACCTGTCACTGGGAGAGTTCTTTCTAGGTAGATGGTCAAGTGAGTCCACTGGTATCCTTTCCTATGTGATCCTCTGGAAGTTATCTCAACAGGAACTCTGGGATCTTCAGCAGGTTGGCTTTCCATTGGCAATTTCTTTTCCAAAATTTCCCAGCTCGGTTTTCACGCTAAAGTACTTCCAAAGATAATCATGATGATGGACCTTTGGCTAGGACTGCCTGCACTTCTGAATTCTCTAAGCTACGTCATTGATTTTTTCAGTATAACATATGGTCTTTTCCAACACCTGCTTAAATTAAGTTTGAAGTTTGTCCTATCATCTACGATAGTTGATGTTACATTACTACTTGATCTGATGATCCCATAACTCGGGATTTCTTTTTCTACTTCTTCATTTATGTCATTACAGCATTTCTGTACTTCTTTGTCTTTCATCAAACTTGTGGTCATAATCTCTATGGGCATATTCTGAATCTTGTCTTCAATTAGATTTTATGTTTGACTCATCTTTAAATACTGTCTCTTTATTTTAACTTCTCTCACATTTTCATGTCTTACCTCTTTCCCTTTTTATTTTCTCTAACTTTCTTTGTGGTCTTCTTTTAACTTTATCTCCTCCTCCTGTATGCAGTCTCTTTCTTCTTGTTCTATTTTTTTCATCTTGGTATTTTTCTAATTTTCTTCTCTTTCATCTCACTCTTTTAATTCTCTGCATTTTTGATTTCCATGGTTTCTTCATTTAGTAAATGTTTGACCTTGCTTCATTTTCAGGATGTAAATGTGAAGTTTATTTAAAGTTATATTGCATTTTCACAAAAATAATCCCATATATAACAACTATTTTGAAATGTGTTCAATCGTGTGGCAGCTTCTTTTGGATTATTTGATTAAAGTAATGCCAAGTCCAGTCCAAAGAACAATAACAAATTAATTTACTTTTGAATAATGTTTACTACACTAGAAATATTCAGATTTTTATATTTTATAATTCTTGAATCAATAGATATAGATCAAATCAATGCATTTCAGAAATTTTCACTGGTTAAAGACAGTTAGTCTTTAATATGAAAATCTAGGTGCCTTTTTAACAACTAAATTATCAAGCCAAGTGTAATTTCTGTATCTTAGAAATGTCTTAAGTTAGCTTTTCTATGATCCTTATAACCAAATTAATATTTATAGTTCACTGTCCCTTCATTGAATGTTGCTTGGATTAGGGCTTCTATCACTTATTATGTAGCAAGTAATCAGTATTTATCTAATTCTTTGTAATATTCTTTCCCAAAAGCTTGACATTAACAATGGTAATAAATGATATTTAAATAGGCATGTACATGTAATCATGTCTGGATCAGTATTTAGGTTTGGAATGCCTAATTGGTAGGCTTGTAAACATTTGTAAATTAATATAAAAACTTGAAAACACATTACCATTCCTAAAATTAAATTTAAATGTGATTTTAGTGGTGGTTTTTACAATATCTTTTATTTCATCTAGAAATAAATGTTTCATAATTTTTTTTTTCATGAACTTTTAAAAAAATATATTTGATTGACTCTTTTGGGATATTCTAGTATCTTGAATTTAGATGTTTAGGCAAATAAATATTTTCAGAATCAATATAGGTATGGATAATTCCATTAATATATCTGAATACAAAACTTACATTACAATACCACTATTACATTTTATTTAAAAGCTTAAGGATCTTTATTTGTTAATAAAGTACATTTTATGGATTTTTTTTGTCTTTTCACAGATATTTGATTGGGAACCAAAGCCTTATGACAGTGATTCTATTCCACAGAATATGCCTGAAAACTTGAAAAATGATTATAATTCTAGTTATGTGTACATTAGTTGTGAAGGAGAAGTAAGTAAGCCATTGTATTCGGTTTTAAGATGTCCTTAAAAAATGTTAAAATCACTAATTTCATACTAAAAAATGAAAAATGTGTGCCGTCAGCCCCTCCGCTATCTTACCAAAAATAGAAAGTTCAGAACTTTCAGGGCTTTAATTTTGGAAATCCCATTCAAAAACATGGAGGTCTCAAAACACTGTACTTTATGCTAAATGTCATTGTAACTGTGTAACTTTGTCATACATATTCCAGAACAAGTCATTTGAATAAGACATCTATTTAGTTTTTGTTTTTCTTTAACTGTTTGCATGAAATGTTGCTTGGAAGGCACCTAATAAGTATTACAAATGTCACTGATGAATTACAAGTGCATCAAGTATGTTTGACATAGCCATCATTAGAAGCAAACTACAATAATTCAAAAGGCAATTTAAAAGCACTGAACATTTGTTTAGGGCCACAGTAATAAATTATGGTAAGTTGGAAACCTGAAACAAATTTTTTTAAGCTTGTAGACATATGAGATCAAAGCAATAATCTGTTGTTTTCTTGAATGGTGGTGGGTGTAAAAAATTCTTTCAATCACAGCACTTTCATAGTATTAACTCTACAAAATAAATAAACCTACATGTGTAGTATATTCAGATGAACTGAATTATTAGAGCTATTGGATAGGTTGATCGGCTAAATAACTGGAGATTCGTTTAAGATTTCAGTTATGGAATATTACTAAAACTCTTACTTAACTGAGTTGATGTTATAAAAAGAATGAGACTGGATACTAATGTAGAATAAAATGCACAGTTTTATTGATAAAATGAGGTAACACAAACTGTGTGTGTGTGTGAGAGAGAGAGCTTGCTGTTCTTATTTACACTAGACAATTTCTTCTATCAACTATTCTATATCCAATCAACCATATACTAGACTTTTTTGATTGAGATCTTGTACCAGACTATTTAAAAGCCAGGTATTTTAGTACCAAGAACCCTTAGATTTACCCAGCATGACATGCACTACCCACATAACTGGCTATTTTCGTTATAACATAGGTGTGTTTGTAACCTCTAGATGTCACTTGAACAACCACTGAAGGATACTGCTTTCAAAAGTCTTACACGATGTAGTATTATGCATTGTTTTTCCTGAGCAATAAACAGGGTACTTATTTCAAGAACAACAAAGGAACAAAGGTAACTTGAAACAAGATCAACTTAACATTTTTCTCAACCAAGTGTTATGTGAAACCTGCATATTTTTAGAGCAAAGATATAATTCAGAATAAATACTATAAAACTACAAGAAAATAGGAACACATGGTATATTTAAATACCACATTTTCCTATCTTCCCTACTTCAGGCTTGTCTCTAGCTCACAATTAACTAAGTTTTTATCCATCAAACTTTAAAATCATGCTGGTCGAGAGTTGTGTCAACTCTCTCTGTTATCCTAGCACATGCACCACATGTCACAATACTTTAACAATGATACAAAAATATTCTTGAGTAATAAAAGCAATACATGACAATAAACCAGAAGAATTCAGGTAGTATAGTACCCATCAGAGTGTAAACTTGTTTTATGAATAGAAACACCCAGTGAAAATTCTTTGATTCCTCAATGTTTTACTTTACGGCTTTATCAAAAGGTAGACACCTTGCAGAACAAATGCCCAGTTGAAGAGTTAAAGAATTTTCATTGGGTACTGGCTGTTTCTGTTCATAAAATGTGACTATAAACTATTTTAAACAAAGAAAAATATGTTATGTCAAAAAAAGAAACTTTAATATAGATGATGGCATAATACCTACATATATAAAATCTTTTAACAATGTAAAATGAATCATTTAACACAGAATAACACAATTTCAAAATAAACCCTTTAACACTGAATACATTAAAAAAAGAAACCTTTTATAACAGTTGCAAGTGCTAATCAGTACAGAAATCCTTTAACATCAATGAAACATCAAAAAACCCTTTATTAATGTAGAATAAATAATGATAAAATTAACCACAATACACATTGAATCAGAACACGTACATTAAATCACAAAATCAAACTATTTAAGCACAGATACACTTCAGTTAAAACTTAATACAATCATTTTTCATAATTATTTTATAATTTTATGGGCCCTTTAAACAAGAACATAAAAAATTAGGAAACTACAAAAGTAAAAGAAATACTTACATCATATGTACTCATTAAAACATATCCTTATTTAAATTCGATGATGAGGAACCCACTTTGAGTCTAATAATGCTTGGAGACGGCTTGAATAGGTAATGAAGAATAACTTTAATATAAGTTTAACGTAACAGCAAATGTACAATGTTTCGACAAGGTTTTGTCATCATCAAGTCAAAACATTGTACATTT